ACACACACACACACACACACACACACACACACACACACACACACACAGAGCATGCAGATGCTGTTGGCCTCAACTGTAACCTCAACAGCTGTCAGCTTGAGACGCAGCGTTTCCTGTTTAGTGATGCCTAACCGAAGTGCTGAGACGTTTGCTCAGTCTGCAAATAATCCTTCCATGTTTTCACCACTGTGTGTGTGTGTGTGTGTGTGTGTGTGCGCGTGCGTGCCTGCGCAGGTGCAGTACGTGTGTTAACACAATCCGCAGCTGTCTAAAAACAAGGGTGCATTGTAGCACTCAGTAACAGCTTCTTCACTTCATCTCCCTGTCAGCTTTTCATCACTGCAGTATGAAAACAGATCCAGCAGTCATCAACACAGACTGGATGATGTAGGTTGCGACTAGCTGATTTCGTAACGCTTGCTCATTTAGATATTGGTCTAGATATATCGATGAAAGTCTAAAAATGAGGAAAAGATTCAGACAATAACAATTTGATTAATTCATGGGATGTTAAACAGACATGTACTATGGATAGTTTCATTTTTCTTTTTGGACTGCACCTAACAATTATTTTTATTGTCAACTAAACATCCGGTTGTATTTTCACTTAATCGATTAATTGCTGAGTCACTCAGTCTCCAAGAGGACATTTTCAAATGTTCTGTTTTGTCTGAAGGATATTTCTTCTGTATTGTGTTTATTTAACGGCACAGAATGACTCATTGGAAACAGATGGAGGAAGTCACGGCCCACTATTGAGCTCTTCCCATACTAATGGTTCTGTCTTTACTGTGAAGGCTCACAGCACTATTATTATTCTGTCCACCACCTGCAGGGCTCGCTGGGTCTCATCCAGCAGTACAATCTGTTCTCTCCATCCTTTAGTCCACCGACACACTCTGCTAATAAAGCTGAGTGATGATGGCGCCCTCACAGCCTGTTCTACATGCAGGACAACATGACGGTACACACGGAGTCCTACACGCCTGAGGTAGAAGTGCTGTAGGCAGTGTTTTAAGAGGTTCACTTGAGGAATTAGGAAATAACATTAGGAAGCTTAGCTGCTCACTGAAGCCTTCACCCATCAGTTTTAGGAATTATGAAAACATAAATGCATATTGTCAGTCAGAACTACAAATCAAACTTTTGATTTATCAAGTTTAAACTATTAGATAACTTACCATTTTGACATATCTAATAATTTTAAATTAATGTGGAATATCAATTTAGACAATTAACTGAAGCAAAATTTGGATTTTCTAACTCGGTCAGAATGTTTTCCTTATTAATTAAAAGCTCATGTTTTAACTGCTTTTTCTTTTAATGTTGTGTATGTTACCAGAAGATTGTTTGTAGTTTGATATATAGCAGTGACTAGTGAACCCATGTTTGACACAGAAAGTCATCTAATTATAATTAGTCATAATTTTGACATTGTTCCACCAATTTAGCATTTGTGCATTTCTACAATGCTCCCGATGGACAGTTAAAAAAAAAAAATGCATCAGAACCAGAGACGGTCTTTTTTTATTCCACGCATTCTTCTTCCTTGTCAAAACCCAGCAACTACATAACCCACAATGCAACAGTTCAGGTGGAGATTAGGCTGTGTTATACTAGTAGTGGCTAATGTAGCCTTAAACTAAAAGTTGAAATCTGAATTACAAAATCCAAATTTGAACTTTGTATTTCAGTGTTTTTATCATTTCAAATCTTCCACCCTTATGGATTTCTTTTCCTGGTGGTAATGGGCCCTGCACACTCACACAGGTGTCTTCAATTAGCAGCTGATTAGACCTTGGAAATCACTCATCTATTATACAGTGCATTATATTTACCGTACATTTAGGCTCCGTAGAGTGCCCTCAAAAAGAAAGTATTACTTGTGCGTGCCCACAGTCTTCAAGAGGTCTAATCGCATTCACACCTGTGCGAGTGGGACATTAACATTGGTCACAGCGTATACTGCATTATGATTTATGGAGAGGCCCAAATCATGCGTAGTTGTATCTATATAGGAAAAAAACACAAATATACGGACTTCAGTAGTTTGGTTAAGGACACTTTGTGTCTAGACGTTAAGAAGGACAACGTGTTCACCCGTTTATTTTCTTCTCACAGTCGGCTTTATTTCTGTGGTTGACCAGACAATAAGATATAGCTGCCTCAGTAAATGAAGGAATCTGAAAAACTAAAATAAAACCCTTTACATTGGTCACAGGTGTAGCGTCCAATTGAAGCAGACTTTACCGACAGTAACCAGTTCACATTAAAGATCACATTGCTGACTCCCCTCTGAACGCAGTATGCAGTTCAATGTCTACAGGCTTCAAACCTCCGGACACACCGCATGGTCATGGACATCAGCCAGTATCAAATTCAGTTTAAGTTGAAAACATAATATTTTGTCACCGTTTCAGTTTACACGTCAGTATCGGGATGAAACAGAACTAAGTAGCATTTACTAAATAAACAGTTTAAATATTGGGATAAAAGTATACTATGTGTCAATATTTGGAGTGTGATTATTGGTGCTCTCATACAGTGTGTAATGACTAAAATAAAAAATTTAAATGAGAGCATCAATGCAGGGGTCATTAATCAGGTCAACTCATGATTTCAAAATCACCATTTTCTTTTCATTCTGCTCTAGTGTTGAACTAATCTCCCAAAAGGTGCTCTTGTTTATTTTAATTTGTAACAATAGTTGCAGAAACCAACTCAACACAGACTGAAGTATTAATGAAATAAAAACATTTGCAGCATTTAGTCAGGAAATTAAAGCTTTTTTTTGTAAAACGTAGCGTTTGTAAATAACTGCTAAATAAAAAAAGTACAGAAATTCGTACAAGTCAGTAAGAGATTAAAATACTCATAAAAAAGGTTGTGAAAAAATATAATTTGCATTTAAAAAAAAAAAAAAAAAAAAAAAAAAGAAAACAAAGTGCTATGTGGCTCTGGGCGGGAACCTGAGCACCAAGATACCGTACAACAAAATCAGGATCAACTCTCAAACATAATAAAAGAGCCATTCTTGGCTTCAACCACACAAAATAAAATAAAAAAAATAAAAAAAATCACACATTCTTATCCGTCAACCTCCAACTTGTTAAACAAGTGGTGGACAGGTAGGCTAAAAAGTAAAAGTATGGCATTGGTTATAATGCTAAGTAGAACTCAAATGGACCAATACCTCTAATCCAAACAAACATTCAGTCAAGCTCAATGATCCCTCAGCTGCTCAACACTGACCCATACACACCTCCAGATTCACGTTTGTGTGTGGACAAGTGCACGGAAGAGACTCAAACAATATCTTCTTCTAAATCAGGTGTAAATAATACGGCAGGTAAACATCTGGATTTAAGTCTGCTTCAGACCCTGTGAAACTCACAGTTGAGGCCCTAAGATGTGCTGATCTACAGTATATTGGACTTCGTAACATTCTCACTGTGAAATGAGAGGACTGCGCACTTAACAGAGGAGGACGGTGTGAATAAATGTCCGGCTAGTTGACAGCGGGGTGCAGCGGCGGGCAGGGCGAGACGTTTTTCTTCTGCTGGGAATCAAAGAAACCCTCACAGTCGTTTCCCTGCGGCCCCGGAGTCTTCTCCTCGTTATACAAACACCTAAAACCGTCGTAATACTCATCAGAGTCCCCCTGCGGTCCGCCGCCCCGCCCTCTGCCGTGGCGCTGCGTGGGGCTCCAGGCTCGCTCCTCGTCCTGGATCTGGGCGCTGTCGAAGATGTAAACGGCGTTGGCCGGCCGCGAGAACTCGAGGCTTTGGAGGTACTCGTCCACCATCTCTTTGCAGTGGATGAAATCGCCGCTATCAACCTGGAGGAGCAAAGACGTCACAGGGCTACAGCGTCAAGTCCTCCGAGCTGGAACGACATTCACAGTTTCCCTTTCAGAAGAGATTATTAAATATCATCTCTCAGATGATCACTGTGGTCAACCGTGAAAGCCTTCACTGACATTCGAAAAGGGTGTAAGTACTTTAAGTGCAGGTTTGTGCTTTTAAAGTTGTGTTCCTTCCCTTAGTTTCCTCAGTGCGGTCACTAATGATTGACTTGAACCATGTTGATGTGTATCAGATTTTGGCAGACCGGAGCATATTTTGATGACCTGAAAGTGCCAATATGTGCCTTTTCATCCAAAAGCACCCACCAGTGTGGAGGGGAAGAAAAGGACAAACGGTGCAATAGCGTGGGACATCTATATACACACTTTTCAGATAATAAAATACCTATAATACCCGTCAGTGCTCAAACTATGTAATGCATAGTACTGCAATTTCCTGTTTATTAACCAACATATATTCAGATTCCACTATATTATTAGCAAGCTAAAATCAGCTCTAGACAAGTAAACATATGTCCCACTCCCTTCACTCAAAGCATAATCCTGCAGCATGGTGCACCTCTCTTACCTGTGCTTTCTTCAGCAGGTGGGTGAAGACGGAGAACCAGTCGGGCGTGAGCGCCTCCAGCTCCAAAGTGATGATGGCCAAGGCCAACGTGGAACCCTTGAACTGCCAAAGCTGGTGGCAGGCCATACAGTGCTGCACCTGCCTGGTCCACAACGCCGCCTGGAAGCCCGCGGGCCTCTTCTGATGCTCCGGCCCGGCGGGAAGCGCGCCGGGTTCTGCCGCCGAGTCCCAGCCGACGCCGGAGCCGAGCCTGATGGACGGAATGAGGCCGGGGTGGCTGGAGACGAGCAGGCCGTGGAACTAGACGGGAGACGGGAGGGGAAGAGGAACGAGACCAAAACATTAGCGTAATGATGTCATTGTTGTCTCATTGTCCATCCAGCCATCGCTCACCCTTTATCTCTACTACTTCATATCACATATACCAGTGCATTTAACGTCAAACCTTGCATATCTGACAAAAACAGGTCAACGCCATCTTTCATTTCTTTGACTCAACCTTCATTCTCTTCCACCCGGGTCACTGTCCCTTTGCAGGCTGGGACTCTCTACTCGTCTCCAGTGTTCAGATCTGCACTAAGCTACGGTTAGCAAACCCTGCAGCTCTGTGCAGGAGGACACTTTGAGCAGATAGAGAATCTCACCATCAGGTTCTTACTAACGAAGACCCACCCGTTTGCCTAAAGGAATCATGGTAATCTTGTTGGTATCGTACGTGCAGTGCTTTTCTGTGTTCCCGTGTGTAGGCAGGAACTGTGACTCACAACCTGATAGGGGGCGCCATGTTAGAAGGACGCTCTTGAGTTTTAGTCCATTTCTTCATACTCTCAGAAGATAAACAGAGAAATATCAACTTCTAATGTTTCTTTGTTACACAGATGTCTTTGTGTTTCCTTCATTCATGTTGTGTTGAGCTGACTTGCTTTAGTTTGTCTCTTACTCTGTAGCAAAAGTAAGCCATGGGGGTTTTAAAGAAAGGGGAATTCACTGGAGGCAGGTTCAGCTATGTGGTGCTAAAGTCTAACAGTAATCCCTCGAAGTCTTAAAACTAAACTTAAACTCCCAAGTTTTCCTTCTTCACTCCATCATTGGAAACGGTGGGAATTCAGGGTGATGTAGCAAACAACAGAAATTGTGTTTAGATTTGACAGTCCTGAGCGATTTGAGTGTCACATCGCTGATTCTGCCTTTACTGAAGCATGTTGAGAGGCAAAGACAAAGCATCGCTGTAAATCCTCTTATTTATTCATATCAAAGTGTCATGGTGGAGAGTCTGACTAATTAATAATAGATTTTATTGACTGCTGTTTTATAGACAATTGAGAACAACACTTTATTTAGCAAAGGGAATGCAGAGTCATTTCTTCAGGGCAGGGGGAATGTAATTGTGAGGTACAGAATTGTTCAAAAGTATTTATTGGAAAAATATTTATTTGAATAGTAGAAAGAGTCTTTATTTTATTATGGTTTTTAGCAATATATTATGTCTTTGTTTTAAAAGTCTTGGATTTTTTTTTGTAATACCTAAAGTGAAGTGCTAGGACAATAATAACTCCACACGCTGTAAACCTATAATTAGTCAGATCCACGAGCCGTCATCGTACGGGAAAGTGACTTTTTTTGTTTTGCGAAAGACACTGAATCAGTCCAAAATGTGCCAAAACCGCTTTTTGGTGACAGTTTATGGTTTGTGGCTTCAAGAAAAACATATCGGTCCTCTCTGAATTAAAATTTTTACAAATCTAACACGGCTGTTTATTCGTCCGTTGGCCCGGGACAAAGTTAGTGGCCCACAGAATGCACAATGAGAGCGGAGGTGTTTTTCTTGAGCAAGCAAATCAATATCGTCTAAAAATCACACTAAAAAGATGCATCAGGAATTACGGTGTCCCTAAAACCGAGGAAGTCGTCTCAATATAAATCCTTTGAATAGTGTGAATCAATACAGTGTGTGTGTGTGAAACGGTTTCTGTCAAGCATATCACGGGCTGAATTCATAAAGCATCCAACGGCTGGCCTCCTCACTCACGGCTAGATGAAGTTTGTTACGCTAACTCAGTTACCGAAGTTTTGTTTGACATGTTAAATTCAACGCATTAAACAGATTTTGCCATAATAGTGATATATGACGATGTTGAATATCACCTAGTAGTAGTGAACCGGTTCCTTGGCCGTACAGTTGGTGATCTTTACATCCTGACACGTTGGATGACGTAAAGTGAAACGCCTTATGAATACAGCCCCGGCCCAACAGCATGCAGGGACCTAAATGATGTTGTGTGTGTGTGTTTGTTGACAGTTCAGTCGGCGGTTACTGCCTCAGTCAGTGATTTGTGAGCGTTTAATAATTAAACTACTGTGAACAGATCCAAGCTGTTAAACAATATTGTGCCATAAACTCAGTGACACAGCATGGGATCTTTAGCGACGACGTGAGAAACAGTCAACAATTCACAGCATGTTATAGATCCGCTAACGACCCAAATCGTCTGTGTTTCTGTTCAGTCTTGTGAGGTTTGAAAAAAAAGAAAAGGATCTTGTATCTCCACACAGCCCCTCTGGTTGAGCAGGGTTTGGGTCTCCCCCGTAGTGGCTGCAGGAACGAGTCAGTCAGAAGTGCCTTGGCCTGATATGCAACACGCCTGTTATTTTGCTAGCAGCTTGCAGTCATAAGTAGAATATATATACGACTCTATTCAGATCTCGTGCTGAAATGTGTCTCTGTTGCTTACCCCCCCCCATATTATTATGTTGAACAATATTTTATTCTGATGTATTGGAAAACCAAATCAAACATCCTCTATGTGTATGTTTTTATTATTTGCATTAGAATGAATTAGTGATGATTGAAAAAAAAGGGAAGGACACACTCCAACCAGGACTGAATGGAGTTTATAATAATAATAATGATAATGATAATAATAATAATAATAATAATAATAATGGGCACAATGAGTCAAATCGAAAAAAAATGGACCAATTCTTTACTGAGAGGGCAGCAGGTTGTGAGGATTTGTAACACACAATCTTGAAGCGAGCATGATGGTGTCATGTGTGCTTTTGTATACTGCTGTGTTTTTGGGGACCTGAATTGACAAAAGCATCTTTAAAGTCCAGCCAGCTCACTACGAGACGCTCTTGGCGGCTCAGGTCCAGCTAAACACAGTGACGTTTTGCCTGTCTTATCTGCTAACTTACTATGTGAATGAAGTCGACTGGCGTTGCGATGTACAAGTCCCAGTTCAGCTTGTCTAGAATGATCCTCTCCATGCGAAGAATCTCCGCTGTTGAAAAGTTGCATCCGCTCTGCACAACCAGGTCCTGAACAGAACCTATTACCTGTTTTAAACAGACACCAACAAAGGGAACAAATAAACGTATCGTTTTGAAACAGCATTGATGTGGGTGCTTTCTTATTCATTTGTTTGTTTTACAGCTTTTATTGTTGTTATCAGATGTTTTTTTGTGTATCCTTAAGGAATATCCTACCTCATCTTCCTCGTTGATTTTGGCAGCCAGGACCAATGAGGTAAAAGCTATGCATTTCAGGTATTTTGGTCGGGCCTATGAAAAGAAAGAGACATCATTTGATTCTTAAGAACCAGAAACAGCGAAGAAAGGAAAGCTGCATGTTGTATATTGCTGTAAAAAGGTCAGATTTTCGAGTGCAGTGTTCTGAGTCAAACCAAATTGAATTACACTATATAGAGTCCAATTTGCAAGTAAAGATATGATTATTCATGATTCACTGCACAGCTCTTTTCGGGAGGTCAATTTGATGTAAAACAGATACAAAGCGTTCCTTTCATTGAACACAGACTTGAACCATTGGCTTCGGGGTAAATATACGAAAGACGAAATAAAGAATTCATTATGTAGGTTCTGGACGAGTACATTTTGGATCCTGGACAAATGTGGCTGCGGATAAAAAGGTTGGAAGTGATGTGTTGTACCTTGACAGTGGACAGCAGTCGGTTGAGGACACAGACGCCCAGTGCAAAGGTCTCTGGACAGAACTGGAACAGCCTGTTCATCTCTCCGAGCCAGACGATCATTTCTTGGTGTTGGGATGAAGAGATGTCCGCACCCTGGGCGGTCACAGGAGACAACCACTGGTTAATAAAATAAATACTAGAAGTCCGATGCTTTTTACATGCAAATCCTTATCTGTGTTTTGGATTCATAACATTGAAATACTACACTTGGCTCCTTTTTAAAAAAAAAAAAAACAAGCTGGGAATCCACAGCCCACTTGTCTCACCTGGATGCATCCGTTCTTGAAGACGGGTACCTTCCAGAGGCGAGACTCCCGGACCAGAGCGGCCTCCAGCAGGCCGACCAACCGACGGCTCTCCAGAGCTCCTGGGTTCTTCATCGCCACCACAGCACAGGCCAGGCTGCACCCAGGGCGCACACACCTGAGGAAGAGGAGGCAACATAAGGAGATCTTACACTGGAGACACAATTTACCTTAATCAGCTATTAAGATATGCACACAGCCTTCAGATAAACTAAGAGTCAGTTGGATTCACTCAGAGGTCTGACAAGAACAACAACCTACTCCTTCAGCTGATTATATATATATATATATATACACACTATTTATACAGTTTCATCTTCATTTTAATATGAAAGCTTTGATGAGGATACAAAGTAGCCCATCACGTCCCATTTTTGAGAGGTAAATACCAATCAGAGGTAAGACTTAGGAGTTTTAAAGAAATGTGTTGCTTTGACAGAAACTTGAACAGCTCTTTTAAATGTCAGACGTCTTTCGGCCGACAGTTATAATCTGGTAAACCAGCCGCTCTGCTGAAAGAGCCGAGAATGCAGCAGGAAATCGCTCAGTTTGCTGAACAACATCGCCATTTTTTCCAGCGCAGGTTTGAGCAGCTACGTTTAATGCAAAGCGTTTTAAATGGCTGGTGTGTGAGACTTGTGAAATGCTACACACAGCCAGGATAATAATGCGCTGCAGCTGCTGCAGCCTCTTGCACAGTTGATGCTGCAGTCAAACACATTCCTCTCTCTCTCCCTCTCTCTCTCCCCCTCTCTCTCTCTCTCTCTCTGGTCTTTCTTTGCTGAAGCAGTCTTACCTCTTTGATTTCAAACGCGGGATATCCCTTCAACGGAAGGTGCATTTATATTTTTTTCAATTAGTCCTTATTCACCGAAAGCAACAAACAAGCAAACAGTAGGCTACTGTTAGAGAATACAATCCCGAAAAAAGCTGGTTTTGGGGTGAATATACGGAAAACAGCCGCATTATATAACTAGAGCAAATCAAATTAAAGGACGTTAAAGCACGAAGTACTTCTAATGACTGTGGCAGGGGCGAAAATAAGCGCAAAACAAAAAGGCAGGAAGCAACAAAAAAAAAAAAAAGAATCGGGGAGGATTGAGGGCAAGCTGTGTTTTGAACGCGCCTGACTCCGCCCCTCAGTGACGTCACTCCGTCTATTAAACAGAAATGTGTTAGTGGGTCAGACATACGGGACCCCTCTCACAAAATGGTCGAGCTTTCACTGGAAATGGAAGATTTCTACCGCGAGTGACTGAAGGGTGTATTTGTTGGGGTGCTGAACTATAACTTTGGGCTCACCCTCTTCTTGTGAATGAATCCTGCTGAGAGCCAGACTGCAGCAGCAGCAGCTCTGTCTCTGCTGCAAAATGATAGTTTCTCTCTCATTGTTATGAATGAATTACTTCTACAGGGAATTTGAATCAGGCTATATCCCCCCCTATCATTGCAAATATATCTGATCTGGAAATGGATACTTTCAGGGATCTAGTTCTTGTTTGCCACCTTCTCATTTGTTCACATTAACAACCGCAGCTTTGAAAGACTTTCATGTACTTTTCCCCTTCAGCTGTGTGAAAGGTAGGCTGGTTTTTGACCATGATGACACATCCCAACCACACCTCTCTCTTTTCACACAGGGCCAGGTCCTGCAGCTTTGTCTCTGTGGTTGTCTTTGATTTTGACTTTCAGGCTGTTCTCTCTGCAGACATTCTGTCTAGTCGTAGTAGGATGTAAAGCACAGGCAATTATGGAGGAGTAATCCCTCGGGATGAGTGTTTGGTTTGTGGACACAATGCACAGACACTCGTAGAAACAGGAAGGGGGTTGTGGTCGATCCCTATTAATTTGTGATTAATCGTTCGGTCTATAAAATGTCAGAAAATAGTAATAGAATTTTCTTAGAATGTCTTGTTTTGTTTGACCAACAGTCCAAACCCCAAAGTGATCAGCTGACTATCATAGAAGACAAAATGATAAAATGTTGGAACCAGCGAATGCTTGCTTTCAATTAATACTCACACCATTAATTGATTATCAAAATTGTAACCAATTAATCCACTCATCATTTCAGCTTCACCCGAAAGAGAGACTAAACAACTGGCCGACCAACACTGCTGTCAAAAGAACCCTAACCAGATGCACCTGAAGCACCTACAGGTATGTCTTATTCTAATGCTGTAATAACAGTTCATGATGAACTTATTCTTTTAACGCTTAACTATGTTTGTCAATGTCCTTGTCATCGGATAATACATGGGTGGCATTAATGCAGAAAGCATGTAGTACAGCATGAAGGAGTTAAATTAAAAAAATCAGTTTACAATGTACTTCCACTGAAGTGGGTACCTGCAGTACATATACAGTAGCTATGTTTATACTTTCTATGTGTTCTCTTTTACTTTCATCCTCTTTATTTTTATGCCTTAACTAAGAAGAAAAAGGTATTTGACATTGATATTTCCAATACACTCCTGACTTACACTGTTTTTTGTTGATGACCTGCTGCACCCAGTTTTTCTGAATATGGGTGCCAAGATGTCACAAATTGCATGCCACTGGTAATTAAAGTTAACCCCCAACATTCTCCATCATCAAAATAACAACACAAATGCCAGGACTGACATTTCAACACTGGAGAATGTTGCATACTCAGCATTGCTCTATGGCATTTATTTTTATGTACAGGAGCTTTCCTCTTTGCTCCCCAACATCTGTTTGCAGTACACTTGGTTAAAGTAATTCATGGCCAAAAACACTTTTTGTTGTGTTCTGTCAGTTTTATTCATTGTTGACTTACTAGCTTGCTCATTGTTGGAATATGAATGTATTATTTATGTCCATTATGGGTTATTAAGCTGTGCCAGGGACATGCCTGCTGTTCTAGTTTGTCCCAGATGGAGGTCAGCAGTAAGTAATAGATTGCCTCATGCCACTTTATACTGACTAGGCTTTAAGGATCAGACAGCTTGGTGTACAAACTGCTGACTGTGCAGAGGTATACACGCGTTATATCACAAAGATTGTTTCTGCCTCTGTGCTGTCAGTAAATGTCAGACCCAACTTTCAGAAGCACCAGAAATTCTCTGTCCAAATATAGAGTCAACAAACTTTAACACAAACAGATGTTAAAGGGAGGAACGTTTTTTGCTTTCCACTCTCAGTCACCTCGAACAGCTGACTGATAAAAAACCCAGTTGACCAGTGTGTCTGAGCCGAGGTCACGACTGGAATGCTGATAAGGAGAGACGGTCACAGCGTGCAGCATATCTGCATGTTGACAGAGTATAACAAGCAGTGGGAACACAGTGGTTGCGTCCTGTATGGAGTCAGGTTGTGTTTTGACTTTTACATCTTGTTTTCTCTGAGTGCTTGAAATGAGAATACTAGTCAGATTTATTTTTATATCAAGAGGTTATTCTCACATATTCTGGGGCTTGAACGCACACATACAGTAACTCTCTCCTTCTTTTTATCCCCCTGTCCTCAACTGCTAATGCTGATCGGACTTTTTACGTGTTTGCACAGTTATGTGTGTGTGTGTTTACATTCCATCACTCTTGGGCGCAGAAAACTGTTGATATTCATGGTTATGAGTGTTTTGCCACTCCCGCTTGGTACACAGAAGCAACATCTGTCAGGTGGTTTTCATGTTAGTTCTGTATAACTTTGAGACTGAAACACTTTTAATTCCCACAGGAGCCCCTGTAACGTCTTGTGTTTCCATAAAACCATAAACAATTCAAATCAGAATCAAAACTGGTCTGGTGACAGAGCTAACCAATCCTACATTGTATAATTCACAATTAACAACAATACAATATGATTCAATATTTGATAAAATACATTTTATAATTATAACTCCATTTGCTGAGATCAGTGAACCTTGATTTTAGCTTTGATTTCATTTTGGTCCAATTTTAAGTTTGCTAATTAATCTTGTTTGGCATTGAACAAGTTAAAATATCAAATACCTACTCGACACATCTTAAAATTGCTTAAATTGATCTTCTTCTTACTTTAAAATGAATACTTGTTGTTTTCTTGGCTCTTTGTCTGATGACGTAAGACAATTTGGCCCCTGGTAACACGTGATTCAAACGTTGTATTTTATGTTTGACATTTAACATATAAATTATCGATTAACTAAATATTGGAAATAAATGAAGTTGGCTGAACGTGAAGTCAGTTGAAGCCATATTTATGATATGGTATACATGTCTGTTGGCTCGCAGGAAAAACAGCAACTATTCCAAAGAGACAACATGCTGCAAAAATATTGCCTTTAGCACACATTGTCTTATTGAAATGGTAATACTAAATCCAGACAGAAAATCTACACATGTGAATCTTAAAAGATGAATCATTAAGCATGAATAACTCAAAAGGAATATATAATCATATATAGTGCGACAGTAGCCTATATTCACAAGGGAGCCAAGCCGGACTGCTTGTACAAGACATGAAAACACTCACAGAGCCTCCGGGGAACACTGCCTTCAGCTTCTTGGATCCTAAGTATGAAACGGAGAAGGAGACTTTACATGTTTAGTTTGTTATCTCCGTGAACACAGTCGGCTCTGATCAGTTTAACAAGAACGTACAGTGTGTCTACAGACCCCCTGTGTCTCCTCTCTACCCCTTTAGCCAAAGAATGCTCAGCACCACACCGTAAATCAATGTCAACCCTGAACCAACTTGGTCCTGTCAGGAAAGCTTCGTGCACTTGGCTGAGCACATTATGTTCCGTAAGTCAGTTCTGATCTCTGACTTTGATCACTGCCTGTCGGACCAAACTGAAATGGTTTTTCTTTTCTTTTCATCTTTTGAGGCCCATCTGGAGCGCTGTCGTCTCTGCATTGGCTTAACTAAACGTGCGTACAGATTTTCAGGAATTCACTGTTTGAACATAATGTACAGATAGATGACAACAGAGAAGAAGAAATGTTCACACCATGTTCTTGGATCACATCCATCAGATTAAAATGCTGTCGGATGTGCTCTTAGAGCATGGTACAGTGTGTCCTATTGTCTGTGGACCAAATCTATTTAAAAGAAATCTGATCATTTTTGTATTTTCAGCCGTGTCTAGGTCTGTCCACCACTTTGGTTCGGACGGCATGGCTGTAGACTCCAGTTTCAGGCATGCAGGCAGATTGTTAGTCATGGTGATTTCCTGTCTCCACTGTCACCATACTCTATAATCGTGCTACTGGACAAAGGACAAAGAAAAGTCATCTTTTGTGCCTGGTACACATGTCCCCTGCACATTACCAATCTTAGCTGCAATAAACTTATGCAAACATCATTTTCTAAAACATTTAATTGCATGTATAAGGACAGTGCTCCTCCCTTCTGTAACTTCTGTAGAATGAGTGTTGTACTTGTATCTGTCGTATTTTGCAGCGACTTACAGGCTCATTCCAAGTCCAGGGTCATTTATCCCTTGTTCACTTGCTTTGTCAAAATGAGTATGTCATCAGACAAAATCAATTAGGTTTGCAACTAACGATTATGTTAATGTGTAACTCTGATGACATTTGCTCAATCAAATTCAATCAATTGATCATCTAGTACATAAAATGTCAGAAAAATGTCCTGGGGCCCAAGGTGACCTTGTCAAGTTGCTCATTTTGAGTCCAAAAAGCAAAGAAAAGTAGAATATTTCTCACATTTGATAAGCATGACGTGGACATATTTGGTATTTTGGTATTTATTTGGTACTTGGTACAAATTCACTGCCAAAACTTAACCAACACCAGCCTTACACTGCCGATGTCTATGTGACTTATATTGCAACATATTTTACATATTTAGCCTTCCTGCTATAAGCATCCTCTGTACAAATACAGTAAAACCATTTAAGCAGATTAGCAGATGGTTCCCGGCCGACACACCTGACTGTGTTTTCTGCACTTCTCCATCGACCCCTCTTAGTGCAGATACAGGAGGAGCGACAGGAAGTCGGGCATCAAAAGGCTTCTGGAGTCATTAGAGCCAGATAGTCTTACTTACTTCCTGCCAGCTACATGATGGTAAACATTAATATCTTGAAAGATTGATCTACCCTCCTACCACTGGAGGGAGACAGAGGCCAGAGC